ATGTTTCTATGGCAGTTTGTTATTTATCAACTTCAGATTAGAAAGCGTTTAATCATGGGAGAGACACGTCCCGCCTCCTGCCTCGACAGCCTGCAGTGCCTAGCGCTCTTCCAACGATGCTCGTGGTTAATCGCTGGCAAAATGGCATGGTTGGCTCAAGCGCCGTGGGGTTTTTTTTTTTATTTTTTAATTTTTTTTTTTTCTGCGTCCTCCTGAGAAATGTTTGTCTTGGACTCTGTGTGTATTGATCGACGTCCTGATAACGCCTCACCCTGCTTTTGGCAATATTTGAAAGAGGGATAGAGGTCTCCAAGGCAAGAGGTTCCTGCAGGATTTATGAAATTTCACAGATGGCAGAGAGGGGGGGAGACTCATGTCAGTGCCTACTAGCCCCAGGAGAAGCCACGCAGGGGAGAGCTGGGGGAAGCAGGGCTTCAGCGTCCGCTTCCTTCAGGGAAGCAGGGCTGGGTTTGTACTGCTTCACAACAGACGGCTCCTTCAGAGGCTGGTGGGGGCTGCTGAGGTTACCTTGCCCTCCGGGGTATTTCGGTGGCCAGGTCCTAGGTTCGGATGTGCCAGCGCATGGTCCTGCTGGTCCAGTGACACAAACTGGTGTCTAATGGCCTTGTTTGGAGTGGACAGAACGCTTGTTCTAACCCCTTTCCTTTTCCTGCGTGGTGTTTTCGGCTTTCTTTTCTCCGGCAGGTTGAAAAGACCCTCCTTCGTTGTCAGAAATAGCTGCTAGGACTGAGGAGAAAACACCCCAGGAGTTCAGTGCTCTTATTGACGTGTGGCTTTGTGGTTTGTTGTGGCCTTGGAAGGAACATCCTCCATTTAGATCCAACTCCTAGAATATGAACACCCTAAAAATGGAAAAAACCTGAGTCCATAGAGTTGTTTTTGCTGGTTTTCTGTGAGACAGAGGGAAGCCTGGGCTGGTTACTAGCCCTTGCTGAGCAGCCTGACAACGTGTGCGTGGCCCCAAACTGGGAAGGCGAGAAAGGGCTTTATCACAATCTTGTGGAACTGGAGAAATGGTGGAGGTTAGGGTGGAGCCTAGGGACTGTGGAGGGGAAAACGGGGATGCTGAAAGCGAGGGGGCAGCGGCAGCTGCAAGGGAAGGACGTGGAATGAGAACAGGGCACACACAGGCTGGTGCTGGACCCACAGCAGGTGGATAAATGCTGTTCTGGGATTTGGAGAGAATCCTTCCCCTTTACTTGGTGCTGGAGGACTGTGGCTTATTTTGGGCACTGACCTTGGAGAAAGGCTCCAAGTTGTGGTGAGAGATGCGAGAAGAGCCCTCAGCCCTCTGCGGAAAGCTGGGGGGAATCGAGGCAGGAGAAGAGAGGTGTGCAGGAGCTCTGCGAGCACGCCATAGCGTGTACGGGGAGTGATAAAGGAGATTTAAGTCCTGGCAAAGTCTTTCCACCTCTGGAGCTGGCTAAGCCCAGGAACGGGCTTGCTGAAGACAAACTGCAGAGAAGGTCCTGGGGATGGGTGCCCATTCCAAGGGAGGGGGGTGCCGGGGGGTGCTGGGCAGGAGGAGGTGATGGCAGCAGGAACCTGACAGGGTGGGTGGCTTGGGGCCCTGGG